GATGAATCCTTCACTAGAAGCTACAAGTATAAAGGAATATTTGTGAAAAAGAAAAAGTTATTCCTTTGTAGTGTCCAAAAGAAAGAAGATGATATCTGAACCTACCTTGGAGATTAAATCCTTTGCTTCTGGAGAAACAAAAGGTGAAGAAGGGAATACAATATCAACCTTAAGAATCCTGGTGTATCATAACGTTCAAGATTAAGAAATACATATGGTAACGACTTAGGCTTCGTTTGAGACGGCTTTCTTTCTGCTTCTTAAAACAGCTTTCTAGTACAAAATTTTAATTTAGAGAAAGCTAATTTAAGAAGCAGTAAGAAGCCGTCCCAAACGAATCCTTAATGTAATAGGAATAAAGTCGTACCTTCTGAAAGTATCGTATTTATCATCAGCTTCAAATGGTGGGACACCATAAAGAAACTCATAGCAAAGTATGCCTAGTGTCCAATTATCAACTGTTTGATCATGAGCCTTATTCTGTACCATTTCTGGAGCAAGGTAATCTATGGTGCCACACATAGTTTGTCTCTTTACATGTGCCTGTAGCTGTGCAGCCCATCCAAAGTCTGCTATTTTCAGTCGGCCCTGAAGAATGTGTCAACCAATGAGCATGCTTAAATAGGACTTGGGATTTATTAAAAAGAATAAGACATAGGCTTCGTTTGGGACGACTTTCTTCCTGCTTCTTAAAATAGCTTTCTAGTTCAAAAGTTAAAATTTTAGAACTAGAAAGCTGCTTTAAGAAACACGAAGAAAGTTATCCCAAACGAAGCCATAGGCAACTATTCAACAACAACAACAACAACAAGCCTTTGTCCCACTACGTGGGGTCGGCTAAATGAATCCTTTTTCGCCATTGTGTCCAGTTAAAGTCAAATTTTCATTTAAATCTAATAAAGTATCTATTAAATAGTTGAAAATAGCTTGGCTTTATTGTGGAAGTAGTTTCATACATATTACTTTATTTCATGATATTTACATATGTAACATCTAAAACTTTGATATTACATTCCTACCACTCATATAAAATTTGAATATCAAATATATTGCTCATATATTTCATTCTTACCACCCATACTGTCCTATAAACTATAATATTTCATTCCATGCACCCAAATTTGTTCTATAAGTGGTAAGATGTAATATTAAAATTTTATATGTTAAATATGTAAATAGCATGAAATAAAGTGGTATGTATGTAAATCCTCCATTTAATTTAATTTATCGAGAAGGCTCCGAGTTTGAAGTTATTTTGTT